CCGCCCCCTCCTTCGCTCGGCCCGCAGGTCGTGCTCTTCTTACAACACGCACTCACTACAAAAACGACAGCAGGAGGTCCAGCCCCTCCTGCTCGGCCCGCCCCGCCGCGCTGCTACCACGAAGCACTCGCTGAGGACAGCGCGAGGAGGGGGAGGGGGCAGCGGCAGCGAGCTTCTTTTAACTACATAATGCCGGCCAGCATTATAGTTTGAGATCGCGCACTGGCCGGGCCGGGCAGGGCCGGCAGAGTGAGTGAGTGAGTAATCGAGATGGCCAGTCACTCGCACTCTTGGATTGCGTAACAGCGATCTGGATAATCGATGCATCGGAGAAAGAAGCGGAGGGGAAAAAAAGAAAGGCGCGTTTAAATAGTGACGCGTTTATTCTGCACACGCGACCCGGCCTCATGGCCTCGGTCGGATGCTCCAGTCCCAGTCTTATATAGGGAATAAAGAGAGCAGAGGGGGTTCGGCGCAACATACCGTGGTGGGACTGCAGCGGGGTCGGTGGGTAAGGTATTAATTCTGATATATCAGTGTTATGTCTAAAACGGGAACTTTTCCCAGCACATCAAGCTAAAAAGGGGAAAAAGAAGGAAATTAACAGAAAAACATTTTTTGACTAGAGACCTTTTCAGTGGCGCTCATTGCTTTTGGGTGCGGTGTTATTGCAGCACCCTCCCTCCTCGACCAAAAAGACACCATCCTCTCAGTGGCGCCCACACGTTTTCGCATATACCAGGTCGCTGATTAACCCCGCTCACTTCTGTAATCATGCTGTACCGCACGCACGAATGCAGGCGGGTTGCCTACTTGTTCAGCCCGTAAGGCGCCGCGCCTTGGACAGGGGTGATAGGCAGGCCCGCCTGCACTCATGCGTGCGGTGCAGCATTGACTACAGAAGTGAGCGGGGTAAATCGGCCACCTGGTAGGTACAATAGCAGAGCACTTCGTAATACTATACACGATACGGAAGAAAACAAAGAGAATATTTACAGACGACTGTGTCGCTGTAACTCTGGACTGGACACGCAGGGAGAATGAACTAGGTGGACTGCTCATCCTCGGTTTGGCGTGAGCAGGAGCAGTGTGTGTCTGCGCTGCAACTTGCAGGCGCCGCGGCCAGTTGCTCTGATTGCGAGGTGACGAGGGGGCCATCCGGCCCATGCGGCCCCCTCGCCTGCTGCCCTTGTCTTTTCCAGATTTGATCATTTCGACTCTTTATTGCATATCTTTCATTGCAGCTGGAACAAGCAGTATTTTCTGTGGCAATATATACAATTGAACGATAATGACCGCGCTGTCCCAAACTTTAGCGCCGAGCGCCCGTGCCGCCCGCGCCCCTTGCAGTCTAACCGAACCTGAATCTGAATCGTGATTGGTGTTGCGGTGTGCCTCCGGACCACTCGGCAGTGCTCGGCACGGCTCCTCACGAGAGACGAGTGGTGTGGCTCTGAGTTATGAAGGGGTGGTTGCGCTTGCGACCGGCCCAACCGGCCGAACCCGACACAGTCTTTTGTGACGCGGACACGCCGTCACGACGCGGTGCTATTGGGGGGTGATGATGGCGGGGCGATGTGGCGCGATGGCGTTTCGGCCATAAAACTGAAAAAGAAGTAAAGTGGACCGCGTGATGCGGCGCGGTACGGCAAGAGCTGTCCAGAAGCGAATCGGCTGCCCGCGCCGCTGTCTCGACTGATAGAGGAGAGAAGAATAGCGCCGTTGATCGGATCAAGCGGCCGGTGGTGGTCTGTCGCTGTCCGCCCGCCGGTTAGGCAACCCATCAGGCTCGAGCGCATCCCGCTGCTCTTCTGCCCGGCGGCGCGG